AAATATGAAATAAATGTATAAAAAAGATGTTTAACCCAACTAGTAATTTACGAAGATACGACAATGAGATTCTATTTCTTATTGCGCACTCTTACCGATTGGACAGAGGCTTCTGAAGATAATCCTCAATTCTTATTGTTTCCTGAAACAGTTTTGATATATTTCTTGTTGCTTTTTATTTTATGTTTATGGTGGTGGTGGTGATTAGTTTTTAAATATATAGTTTTAAAAATTGGAAGAAAAATGTTAGCAATGATCTCTCTATTATTTTTTTTCTCTACGATTTACTGTGTTTTCTAATTTTTTGTACATTTATAATGTATTAATTTTATAATCAGAAAAATATATCATACAGCTATGTATTTTGGGTTTTTTTGGTGGCTGGCCGATATAGGGATCCGAACCCTTGACATTGGTGTTATAACACTGCACTCTAACCAATTGAGCTAACCGGTCAGCCCAAGCCGTGTAGAAACAGTTTTGAAGGCACCTGTTAACCTTTCAAGTGACACTTTCCTTTCCTTTGGTGTTGATGTACAGGAGTTCCCTCTGGCACACGTGTGCAACAACACAAATAAGATGGCATTAGTTAACCCCCAAGGAGTCCAGCTCAATATCTACAGGGAAAAAGTGGAACAGGCAATTAAGTCCTATGAAAAGTGAGTATTACTTCTGGCTGCTCTTTAATGGGTGTGGAATTTATTTACTTGTTTTGGCTTATTATCTCTTATTTCAGCTTAGATTATTTTTTATCTGAAGCAGCTATTTTAAAATTGTCCAACACCAACTTCAGCAGCAGCAGCAGCAGCTAACATAAGGGCTTCCTATGTACATTAAGTACTTTATTTGAATATTTTCCACAGAGTTTTAAAGAAGTCGTCTTCCCTTTCCAAACTCTATAGAAATCTCATGTTTCCATGAGATCTTTAAGATCCTTTTAGCAGAGTGAATTTGGTCATTTGGGCATCTAACATTCTGTAAAGTGACTAATAAAACTCCACAGTAATGCAATAATGGAGATAATGTAAGCATATATTATTATTATTAAAATTTTTCTGCCAAGTTCAAGATCCTGACCAGGTTGATTACAGTAAAAATCATATTCTCAATTAGCCGCTGTGTCTGTGCAGAGACAGCCGCCTCCCCCCACAGGGGCAGATGACCCATCTTCACTCCTGTCCATGCTCAACTCACCTCCCCACCCCGGCCCCAGCAATTAATTAATTCTTGGTGCTCAGCACTTGAACTCTGAGCATGCCCACCTTCTTCAGGCATGCCTATTCTTGGTCTGGAAGCTGTGCAGTTGGGTTTTCATTTACCACCATGTGGGTGGGTGAAATAAAAGTTAATGACGTGGTCCATGCCAACATTTGTTGGTCTATTGTCATTTTGCAGTGTGTCTAGTATGTGTTCAAAACAAGTATAAGGCCTGACTCCTGCCCATAAGGAATGCACAATCCAGTCCAGTGCAGGCCCCAGCACCCATCGCAGGCCTCTCCAGCCGCCTTCAAACTGAGCCCCTTCCTCTGCCCTCACCTAAGAGTTGCAGCTGTCTTACCTGGGCTCTCTCAGTGGCCTCCACGGGCTCCTCAGTATTGCTCAGGTCTCTACCTGCCCTTGGTCTTTCTCTCAAAAGCAGGATGAACTGTTTTAAGGTCCACCCTTCCCCAAGCATTTGAGACTCCATGCAGGCCTCAGCTTTGCTCCAGTTCTTCCTATTCTGCTGTTGTCCCGCAGCCGGTCTTTTGTCCCTTCTTGCCTCAGCACCAGTGCCCTGCTCAGAGAGGCTTTTCCGCAGTCCCCCTCCGCTGTCACCCTACGTGTGGCCCTTAGAGCATGCATGGCTTCTGCACAGGCCTGTCTCTGCCCTGCTAGGATGTCATCTCCCCAGGCCAAGAGCTTGGCCAGCCTTGTTTTCTCCTTCATCCCCTATTTCCAGCAGGTCTGTATGTATGTATATATTTGACTATTTGAATTTAATTCAAATTTGATATCATTCAACTTTAGTTATTAAAATTCTTCAAATTCGCTTATCCAAAATGTAAGATGATAATGCCATTGAGATTCTAATGTAACTTGTTTGATAATTTGAAAGTTTGAGTCCTATAATTACATGGTCTGTGAAAGCCTGGTGCAGGGCCACAAGNAGCTGTCTTACCTGGGCTCTCTCAGTGGCCTCCACGGGCTCCTCAGTATTGCTCAGGTCTCTACCTGCCCTTGGTCTTTCTCTCAAAAGCAGGATGAACTGTTTTAAGGTCCACCCTTCCCCAAGCATTTGAGACTCCATGCAGGCCTCAGCTTTGCTCCAGTTCTTCCTATTCTGCTGTTGTCCCGCAGCCGGTCTTTTGTCCCTTCTTGCCTCAGCACCAGTGCCCTGCTCAGAGAGGCTTTTCCGCAGTCCCCCTCCGCTGTCACCCTACGTGTGGCCCTTAGAGCATGCATGGCTTCTGCACAGGTCTGTCTCTGCCCTGCTAGGATGTCATCTCCCCAGGCCAGGAGCTTGGCCAGCCTTGTTTTCTCCTTCATCCCCTATTTCCAGCAGGTCTGTATGTATGTATATATTTGACTATTTGAATTTAATTCAAATTTGATATCATTCAACTTCAATTATTAAAATTCTTCAAATTCGCTTATCCAAAATGTAAGATAATAATGCCATTGAGATTCTAATGTAACTTGTTTGATAATTTGAAAGTTTGAGTCCTATGATTACATGGTCTGTGAAAGCCTGGTGCAGGGCCACAAACTAGCACTTTGGGGTCAGACAGTTCTCATGGGTCTCATTCTTGGCCCTGGCACCTACTCTGAGCATGTACATGGCAATCAGGAGCCTCCGATTTTTTTTTTTTTTTTGGTGGCTGGCCAGTACAAGGATTTGAACCAGAGACCTTGGGGTTATAAGGCTGAGGTCTAACCAAGGGAGCCTCAGATTTCTTATCCACAGAACCTATCTCACAAGGCTGTTGTAAAGATTATGTACATTGTAAGGTCGCCGAGGAAGGAGATGCTAGCCAGGCAAAGGATGGAAAAAAAGATTTTATTATTGGCAAGCAGCAAGCGGACCTGCTGGGTTGTGCCGAGAGGCACTTGGGTGTCTTCTTTTGTAGGGTTAAGATTAATATCTGGCCTACCCAAGGGAATGGTTACAATGTTCCACTCCGGGTGCAGCCTGATCATGGGAACAGAGACTTAGGGAAACAGAAACTTAGAGAAATTAAACTGAAGGACGGGGACTTTCTAAATGTCAGGCTCTCAGTTCCAGGGACCTAACATACGTCATATGGAAAGAGCAACTCATATGAATTCCTTCCCCTTTTCATTCCCTGAATCTGCTTCTCAAAGTTTCTAAGCCTCTCTCTTCTTCAGCACCTGCAGGGAACAAACATTGAGTTATTCCTGGTCACTTTATATGTACATCTCACTTAATCCTCTCAATGCCAGGGATAGGTGGTATTATTCTTGTTTTTTTGGTGAGAAAGCAATTTCAAAAACTTGTCTAACACAGGACCGCAGAGCAGCGAAGGAGGAGACTGACATTTGAACGCAGACCCATGTTATTCCAAAGCCCTTATCCACACTCTCAGCTCCCCACTATACTGCATCCACTTTCAATGTTTAGATATAAAAGGATTTTGAATACTTTTTTTTTTTTAACAAAAGCACAAAATCCCAATTCTTTTAATGTCATGGAAGCTTTGGTCATTCTTACATGAACCACATGATTAAAGAAACCCAATTTCCAGATCGGTCCCAAAGAACCAAAAACCTCAAGTGAGACAGAAGCACTGAGCTGGCTTATTTCCCTCTTTTCCTGTCTGTCACTTACAGAACATTTGCCTGTGTCAGACACATTTCTATGTGCTGTGCACACATTAGCTCACAGGAACAGTAGGAGAAGGGAGGTACTGTTATCATCCCCATGCTATGGAAAAGTGGGTACTGGCCAAAAGTGTCACACTAGTAAGAGGAGACGCTCACTGACTTTGGGCCCAGGCCCTGTGGCTCAAGTCATGCTCGTCAACCACCATGCCAGACTCTTTCCATGTCCTCAGGCTCATGGTGGGAGAGCAGGGCAGGTAACAACACTGAGAGTGTGTTCTCAGAACCCTTTCCCACGGATGCTGGCTCCAGTGGTTAGAAGAATGCCTCCTGGGGAGGGATCATGTTCTCCCACCTCATTTTACTGACACAATTTTTTTTTCCATGGAACATTAGCTCACAACCCCTGGTGCTAGTGTTTTGTGCCCTGCAGTCCAGGAAACCTGCATTGGGGGAATGATGTAGCAGAACAGAACTGGGCTGGAGTCTCTGAAAGAAGCATCATGGATTAGTAACCAGAAGGGGAGCTGTAACTACCTTATGGGAACCACTGGCTCCAGCCTCCTTTCCTCTTGAGTTGAAGCTTCTCTATGAAAACATGTTCAGTGACAATATATGGTCCCAGCACCACCAGCCAGCTGTGATGGTTGAGCAAGGTTCTGCTTCTGTCTGCCCTCTCAGCAGCCTCGTTTGGAAAATAAGGCGGGTCAGGCTGGTTGATATGTAAAGTGAGTCTCCCCTGATCCTATTATTTATGACCCTGTAAACCCCATTTGCTTTGAGAATCCAGGCAGAAAAATGTCTACAAAAAGCCAGCTAAGGGGCCGGCCCGGTGGTGCACTGGATAGTGTGCTGCTTGGGAAGCACGGCGGTGCCCCCGCCCGAGGGTTCAGATCCCACATACAGACCGGTTCCCGCTCACTGGCTGAGCGAG